GCTCATCTTATATACTGTAGCTTGTCACTGAATTAGGGGCTGTTTGATGATGTATTTACACAAAAATAAACTCCCACAGAGTTGTGTGGTGGGTAGCTTCCTTCCTACTGTGTTGAGGTTTGTCATATAGTTTATTCCAGGTTAATAAGTTTCTGTTATGATTTTATACCTGATAATATCTATTATAAACCCCAATGGACTATATGTCGTCACACAAAAGGGGCATTTTAGAGTGGTAGTTCCAAAGTAAGCTGCTGTGAAGCAATTGCATATGTGTTGTTTAATAACATATTTATAATTGCAATATCGGTACCATCTGTGAGGAGACGCTGGCTGCTGCTAATATACCAAGAAAGCTGCACAGATGCTGGGAAATCAAACTTCCCTTCTGAGAAGAAAATGGCCTAAAACAGAGGAAACAATGTAACTGACACTGATGAGCCAAGTCAGATGTTTTTTCTTCTTTCATTGACTTTTGCTCTCTATGATTTGCTTGTTTGGTAGTATTAATCTTAATAAAACAAAAGTTGTCAGGGTGTGCTGTAAGGTCGAAAACATGCTACCTTCAATGAACTTCGGCATCTGGATGAAATGAGAGCTCACTAAAGAGTACAGGGCATCATTCATCATCAAGCAAATTATCCTGTGTGGACGTTAGGAGTTTACTCCACACATGTGTATAAACACTCACAGGCTCCAAAACTGTATAACTGGAGATGGCAATAACATTGCCTGGGTTGATGAATCTCAGCTAGTAACAACATGTTTATGTATAATCGACGAGTCATGCACATCCCAGTTAGATACATGGACAATAAATTTGCACCTGTTTAAATTAATGCGTCTGCTTGTCATATATTTGTTCTAAATGCTACTGTTTTACACATCAAACTGAATCAACCCAGAAATCACTCCAGCACAGCCATCACAGACAAACAAGAGAGATGCCATCAGACACATTTTCCTTTTAACATGCAAAAAGACACTTTTATTGTTGAAATGTACAACAACTTAATAAAATAATGCCACCACAATGATCATTTTTCCAGTTACTTTAAAAAAATATCTTGTATTTTAAATAGATATGTATGTAAAAGAAATAAATAGTATTTCAGGATAAAACGTTGCTGTTTTACTTCATGCTGTTGTTGGCTTGTTGGGAACTTCATTTAATAATGAGAGATCTTGAGGGCAGTTTAATTCTCCCTGCAAATGTAGGAAAAGGAAAGATACAGTTAGACGAGTTTATTACATACAGAGAAGCATTTTAATACTTTTTATTAATAAATGTTCCCTCGGTCCATGAAACCAGCTTTCCACGGATCAAGCAGGGGGGACTCACCACCTTCCACCAGCTTCATACCTGATAACATGTGGGTGCTGTGCTTATTAACAAGTGGTTTGCACCTCCTACATTTCACTTTATGGGGGGTTTCCTTTCAACAGGCATCTCTAATTAAAGTGATGACATTATTGGTTGACCAGCTTTTGAGGCCGAATCTGAAAGTACTTTCCTAAAAGTACTTTCCCCTGTGATTTTGATCTTTGACAACTTTTAATGAGAGGTCTTCACAAACACCTCCTCTACACCTTTAACCTGAGTGGTTGACAACAGATGTAGACTAGAGGTTAAAGATTACATTTAGTAATCTTTCACATCGCACTGATCATGTAAAAAGGAGATGATCTACTTCCAAATTTTATTGATATATTGTTTAAATACAGGAGAATTAAATTATTAAATGGTAGCTGTGACAGTGATGTCTCCCATTGGTTTTAGATTCATCGCTACGATGGTGATTGTGGTGTTTTGGAATGGGACATGATGAGTAAAGCTGTTAACCAAAGAGCATATTTTGAATATCCATCTTTCTAATTCTCAGCATTATCACAATTTACAAATTGAGTTTGTTGTTCTATCCAATATGACCTGAAACGAGCAGCTTTTATACAACAAGAAGTCTTTTTGCAATCAAATGGGTCGCCCCCTGCTGGCCATTAGAAAGAGTGCAGGTTTAAGATATTCAAAACAACTAAAGGACATCATAAAAACAGTTGATGAGCTAAATGGAAACACTAGATTGAAAGGACACGAGCTTGTTACAAGCAGCTGAACTTTGGTGAAAGAACTGATGAGTGCCCACTCTCCAGCAGTACACTGATGACACTATCTCAGATAAAAAGGCAAACCACAAACCGTATAGTGGTAAAATGTAAATCTGCAGTATGACTAGCATCTGAAACTATGCGATAACTAGATAACATGTGCAAATGCAGCAGAAAAAAGGAAATATTCAGCTATTTCAGGGCTGTACTAATTTACATTACTAATAGAGCTAATAAATAATGTACATAAATTACATGTGTAGATGAATAGATTAAGACAAAGTTCCATTTTTCCTTAATCCTCTATCCTTGGTCTGAATTGACTTTCTTTGGTTCAGATTTCAACGCAAATAATTATCTGGAATTAAATAAAATCACAAGCCATTTAATGTGGTATGACAAGGTGAACCACTAATTTACACTTTTTTGGTAGTTCAGACACAGATCTACAGTCTGGCTTCATGTTACCTTCTGTATTTTGTCCTTGAGCCACTTAGAATTTGGGTTGACACACCACGGTTTATCTTTATGGCGCTGGTTTGCAATCCTAGGAGCAGAAACATCAGTTAAAGTCAGTTACAAAATGTATGATATTAATTTCAAATCTGGTCCTCCAGGTAATAGCTATATTACCTCTTTACAATTTTGGCCTGCTTAGCTGTAGGCAGCAAAGGCAGCTAACAATCTAGCTAACAGACAGCTTCAGGTGAGGTGACAGACTGTGCAGCCTTCATCTTTACTGAATGTGAAGAGCGGCTTGCATGTCTACCTTGCCCGCAACAGTTTCATTTTTAATGTTTTCTTCTTTTGAGGTTTAATTCCACTTACCAGCAAAGACACAGTCATGCATGTGAATCAGAAGCTTCAGAAAGTTACAGAACTGGAAAGAGCATGTTTGTTCAACCGAAGTTTTAAAACTTTAGGCTGGTTTAATTTCCTCACATTGCTAAGCTGTACAGGTAAACTGCCTTGGTGGATGTTATAAAAGTTTTGTGGAGTTGCTGAGGGCGAATATGTGAACCAAATTGCACAGAAGAAGGCTATAATGAGCATTTATTTTCAATTACATGAAAATACACTGGAAAACTATGGTAGACCTTGATGTCATTGTCATTTCTCAGTGTAGCCATCAGTGAAACTGAATGTAACACCTCTGCCCCAGCAATATTGTATCTTTATTTCCCCCTGTTCTTATCTAGATTTAAGATCAACAGTGGGAATCACACTAACAGTTCTTCCCACCACATTAAACTTTAGAAAAGAAGTTCATACATTATTTATATTTACGGTGAAGCCCACGGTGGCAAATGTTGGGCGAGAAAAAGTCCAGAGACAGCTATTTAATATTTACACGTATGGAAACATTGTGAGTGGCGTGAGCGTGTTTAAATTATGATGATCTTACAAGAAAGCATGGTGGTTGCAGCCCTCGCGTGGTTTCTGCTCATAGCACCATTTGATCCGTGCTATCTTCCTGGTGCTGACGTTACGGCAGCAGGACAGACCTACAACCGAATCCGCTGCACAGACGAAAAGAGAGAAAAAGAGAAAAATAAGGAGATTAGTCAATATTACAAGAATTCTTCTTTGGTCAGCTGTGGCGAGAATGAGGCGCTAAAAAGTAGAAGCACTTATGTAAAGCCATTTCACTGTGGTTGATGGTTAGATGGCTTCCTGTTGTACTGATCGAACCAGCGAGACAAGAAATGACGGCTAATCTACGAACACTTTCATTTGACACTCATTCAGTAGTTAATTTTCCTAAAATCATGAGATATTGTTTCAGTTTGGGTCACTAGTTTTATTTTAAAATCAGTCACCATTGCTGTGTCTCAAATTTCTAACTCTTTTTAATAGCGCTCATGCTAACAAGTGCAGAATTCTGACTGTCTTCGAGACACTAAATTGGCCTTATTTTTAGGCCCAGACGCAGCTGCTTGGCAAAGCTGCCCATAACATGTTTTGTTGTATTGTTTGATGTCTGCGCATGTTAAATCTTCAAGGTTTAATGTTGTGGATAGTTAGAGGCGCAACAGGTAACAAATGCTCACAAAATAGAGCAACTAGCAAAATAATTACAGTTAACTGTGTTTGATTCGAGAAAAGTGACTGTGCCATACAAGTAAATACGTCGAATACTGAAGAAGACTACATATAAATGTGGCAACACAAGTATCTACATTGCGACATACTGTTATCCCTGTTTGTTCTGCTTTCAGTCTTTGTTTGATTTCCAGCCTTCTGTTATTGCCTACCCCACCCTGAGCAGTAGCACGTGTTTCCTATTATCCACACTGCTCTTTGTTCCCTGCCAGATTTGTCATCCTACCCACAGATTATTACATCCAAATTTAAGCATTCATTCACTACTTACTTGTTGCTGTAGAGGGAAGTCTTTACTCTCATTATTTTATCCCACAGTTACATACTGACAAATATTTTTGCTGAAATAAAAAAGCTGTGAGATGCTTTTTTGTGTCAAACAAACCAGCTGAGTGTGTTTTTCAAATCACATAAAAAGGCTTCGTGGTGGTTTATGTTGTGATGCTCTCTCATGCAGCTGTGTTTTTCAAATCACATAAAAAGGCGTTGTGGTGGTTTATGTTGTGATGCTCTGTTTTCATTCCTCTCATGCAGCTGTGTTTTTTCAGCCCATTGCATGTTGGTTTGGAGTGCTTGGGTACTTACCATTGATTGTACACTGCTTTTTTAAGAGGTGTTGTGGGATACATTGATTTCAGTATGAATTTAAAAAGCACTACAAAATGCCGAACTTACTATTGAGTGAGTCATGAGGGATTTCAGTCAGAGCCTGCTCGGTTTTACAACCGTTTTCTTATTTTTAAAACCACTAATGTTCTCCGTTTGATTTTACCTGTTTGGGGATTTTTACTTTGGTTTCATTCCTACTCTCAGTATTTATTTACGTCCAGTTTACTGACTATTTACTGATCTCCTGTTAATAACCTCAAATGTAGGAGATTTAACCCTTCTCGCTTTTGATCACAAGCACAACTTTTGACTGTTTCTCTGCATATTTCCTTTTTTTGTTTTGCATTGCACAGTGAGACCTGCAGAGGTTTAACATGGCACATAAGACTGCATTCAATCATGAGTTCAGGCTTACCTTGAGATGCTGAGAAGAACATCACAACAGACAGGCTGAGGAGAAAAATCCAGCGGCTGACAGAGAGGGCCGTCCACATCTTCATGCTGACAGAGTCCCAGCTGTAAACTGCTTCCTGTTCTTTCTGTTACTTTGTGCAGGATTTGCAAAAGTCTGAGGATAAATGAGCCAGAGGAAGGTGATCTTTTATACTGTAGCTGCACACAAAAAGAGGAACAATATGAGAACTATATATGTCACGCAACATTTTTTGAATGGAAATACTCATGCACCCAAAATGACGAGACAGAGGACAAAGACTCATGCACTCAGAAAAGACTGGATCATATCCATATATGTGCAGATCCGTTTCAGTATCTCAGACAACAGCTCATCGTTTTTGAGAACTCTAGTGTCCACCTTGTACTATTCCTCCCGTGCAAAGTGACTTAATTTTCAAGATTTTGCCTTCAGAGCTGTCTTAATTCTTCATGTCACATATTCAACATGGTGCTTGAAACATTCCTCAAAGAATTTGGTCCATTTTTATTTCTCATAACATTTGCATGTCATGTTGTGTGAGTATCAGAACGTTTCTGCACATGCATTATGTGAATCAGCACAGCAATCCCAAAGGTGCTCGATTGGATTGAAATCTGGTGATTGTGGAGTACAGTGAACTCATTATCATGTTCAAGAAACCAGTTTGAAGTGATTTGAGCTTTGAGATATGGTCTGTTATCCTGCTGGAAGTAGCCATCAGAAGATGTCCAATGTAATGGTAAAGGGCTGGTTCTTATGTAGCACATTTCTACTCTACCTGAGCACTCAAATCGTTTTATACACCACTGAACTACCAACCTACAGCCTGGTCTACCACCTGAGCTACAGCCAACACAATGTGGTCATAAAGAGCTGGTCAGCAACAGTACTCCTATTCAGTATTCAGGTAGGCTGTGGTGTTTAAATTATGCTCCACTGTGATAAGCCCCCATGCTATTACTTCACTGCCTGACCTGCTGCTAGAAGGCAGGATGGATCCATGCTTTCATGCTGTTTTTGCAAAATTGTGACCCTGTCATCTCATCAAACCAATAAATATTTTTACAGTCTTTTATTGTCCAACTTTGATGCAACATAGATGCTCATTTTCCTGTTCTTTGCAGACAGGAGCAACTGCTGTAGCTCATCTGCTTCAAAGTCAGGTTTGTATGCATTAAGAGATGTTCTTCGGCAGAACTTAAGCATTAGCCTAATGAGTGGGTTTTTGAGTTAATGTTGCCCATCAGCTTGAAGCAGTTCACCAAGAGAACTGCCGCTGACTGGATATTTTCTCTATTTTAGACAGTTCTCTGTAAACTCTGGAGATGATTGTGTAGGAAACTCCCAACATATCAGAACTTTCTGAAGTAGTCAGACCAGCCTTTCCCCTTTCCGTTATTTTGATGTTCAGTTTAAATGTTAGCAGAAAATTCTGACCATGTCTACATACCTAAATGTAGTCTTTGTTATATAATGAGCTGATTAAAAATTAACAAGAAGCTTAACACATGTACCTAATGAAGTAGCCGTTGAAGAGAGATGGCTTAATGGCTCTCTCGAGTGATGAGAGTTTTGGTTGAAAAAGCACTAAAAATACAAGCTAGACTTGAAAATCAACTTGTAAGAACTTTAGAGAAATAAGAACACACTGTAACTGTTCTTAGTGTTGTTTCTGTATCATAATACCTTTTCTGAACTTCTTGAATCCTGCCTAAAACAAATAAACAGATTAATCAGTGAGTTTAAACAGAAACTGCTGTATTTGTTTATAGAAAATGTTCATTTCATTGGGTTTATCCCAAAATACACAAGGCAGATTAATCCATTTGTATCACTAAGTCTCCAATTTCCTGTCCTTTTATGGTGATATCTGTGACCAGGAGAACATGTTTCCCAACTTTCTGCTGGAACAGAAAATACTGCTGAGAACTAAGAGAAACCCTTTGGGTTTTATCCCCAAATAAAAGCACATAATCGGGATTAAACTTTTAATAAAATCCTCCAGGAAAGTATAGATGCAGATGAATATATGTCTCTCTGAGAGTATCAGTTCTTTCCATTTAGTTTGTGGTTTTTATACAGTTTGTACAACTTCATTAAACATTTGGCTCCAGTTTAGAGCCAAATGTTTTTGGCTGAAAAAGTCAAAAGATATACAGACA